AGGAGTCTGGGTGTCAGGTCCACAGTGGGGCCTGGGCCTCCCCCGAGTGAGCGGGGCCTTTGTTGCTCTTGATGCGGGGCCTGTTGCCCAGAACGGGACTGTCATCACAGCTTCTCCATGTGCCTGAAGGCGATGGAGGGGCGTGTGGGAGGCCATCTGTGACACCGGGGACCAGCGATGACAACACATGGGGTTTGGGGATGTGGGACTTCCAGGCAGAGCATCACGCAGAGTTCCCGTGAGGCCCCAGAGCTCCAGGTTAACTTCCGCCCTTTCCGGATGCCTCCGGAGCCACCGTGGCTGCCCTGCCTGTTCCCGCCGTCACAGGTGATCATGGGCTCTGCAGCTGACGGCATTATTGGTGGCTGGGAAGTAGAAGTCAACTCCCTCATGCAATTAGCCGGCTTGCCAGGGGCTAGGGAAGCTTGTTGAGAGCCCTGGTCCTTTAAAAAAAACCTATAAATTAAATTTTTATTGACTTCAGTGTAAGATGTTAAAAAAAATCAATGCTTTCCTATCTTAAATCTTTTCCTTACTCCCCTGCTCCCCCGCACACTGGATAAAGAGAGCCCTTCCTCCTCCTAATAATGGAAATTCCTGGGGGGGCCGGACCTCTCGGTCTGGGGAGGCATTTCCTGTTGCCCAAATTACAGGATTGAAGCCGCAGTAGCTCTGGCCCAGGTGAGATGACTGAGAACCTGTCTCTCCTCGTTTCCTCATTTCCCCAAATTAAATCCTGTTTCTTGGCTGATGGAGCTTCCTCTGGGCCTCTGTGGGGTCATCTGTCTTTCTGACGGCGCCGTGACCGGGAAGCAGCTCCCTCTGTTTCCAGGGGGCAGGGAGGGACGGGGTGGGGTGGTGGCCCGGAAGGCCCTGCTTTCCAGCTTTCCAGCGTCTGTGCCAGCCGTTGTCACGGGTGCCGAGGCCGTCGGAACGCCGGGCACAGGTCCCACTGATGACAGCACAGTCAACAGAGCATAAAATCTTCGCTGTTCTAGGGGGGCCACAACCCTCGGGGACTGAGCTGCTCCACCACCCCCGCCCGAGGCTGGCGGCCCCACAGGAGAGGCCAGAAGCAGCCCATATGCCTCTTGACTCACCGCCTGTGCTGGGTTCCTCCGGGGTGTGTGTTTGCTTTTGAGATGGAGTCTTGCTCTTGTTGCCCAGGTTGGAGTGCAGTGGTGAAATTTCGGCTCACTGCAGCCTCTTCCGGGTTCGAGTGATTCTCCTGCCTCAGTCTCCCAAGTAGCTGGGATTATGGGCGAGCCACCACGCCTGACTAATTTTTGTGTTTTTAGTAGAGACGGGGTTTCACCATGTTGGCCAGGCTGGCCTCGAACTCCTAACCTCAGAGGATCCACCCACCTCGATCTCCCAACGTGCTGGGATTACAGGTGGGAGCCACATACACAGCTCTCATTTTTGTTTTTAATTAATTAATTAATTAATTAATTTTTCTTTCTTTCTTTCTTTCTTTTTTGAGACAAGGTCTTGCCGTGCTGCCCAGGCTGGACTGCAGGGCTGTGATCAGAGCTCACTGCAGCCTCCTCTCCTGAGCTCAAGTGACCCTCCTGCCTCAGCCTCCCGAGTAGCTGAGACAACAGGTACGCACCAGCGCACCTGGCTAAGTTTTAATTTTCTTTTTTTTTCTTTTCTGTGGGACAGGGTCTCACTCTGTTACCTAAGCTGGAGTGCAATGGCGCCATCGTGGCTGGCTGCAGCCTGGACCGTCCAGATTCAAGCGATCCTCCCACCTCGGCCTCCTGGGTAGCTAGGACCACAGGCAGGCCACCAAACTTGTATAGTTTTTGCAGTTTTGTAGAGACAGGGTTTCTATGTTGTCCTGTCTGGTCTTGAACTCCTGGGCTCAGACCATCTGCCCGCCTTGGCCTCCCAAAGCTCTGGGCTTACAGGCATGAGCCACCGGGCCTAGCCTCTGTCTTTCACTTTTGGTCCCACCGTTCCCGTGCTGAGCCTGTGTGCCTGGGGTCCTGCACCTGCAGGAGAGCTGAGGAGTGGGTTCCGGGGGCCCCGAGGCCGCACCACACTCGCAGGGCTACCAGTGGCTTCTCCCAGATGTGGTTCAGTGTGTCCTCAAGAGGCATTGGCTTCCAGCCCCTCTCTGCGCCAGGCTCCAGGGAGAAGGACGGTGGGTGAAGCCTGGGGGAGCCGGGGCAGCAGGTGGTCCCAGCCCTGGGGTTAGCTTTCTGCTGGGGAGGGAACCCACAGGAGGACCTTGGGGGCAGATGAGCTGGCCTTTGATCCCACAGGAGCAGCCAGTGCTGGCCACGCAACATTCATGTTCCCGGCTGCTCAGTGCAGTCTGGCGATGTGGGAGATGCGGCAGGCCACCAGGTAATTTGCCTGGAGACCAGAGAAGGGGCGGGGCTTTCAGGTTCCTGCGGAGGGGACGGTGCTGGAGGTGCTGAAGGGACAGCACCCTCGTGGAATCCGCGGCACCCTGGCCGCCTGGGCAAAGACTGTCTCCCCCGGTGGAGCTGGCACCACGAATGTCTGAATTCTGCTCAACCTCTCTGGAATCCTGTCGATGCAGTCTTGGCAAACACTGCTTGAGCCTGAACGATTTTCCCATCTGTTTTTAAGTAAATGGAATTCCTCCTGTTTGCATGAAATTTACCCCAACTGGGCATTTTCACAACCGGCTTTGCCTGGGCGCAGAGGAGGGGACAGGGGGCAGGCATCCTGGTAACCAGACTGGTGACAATGTAGCCTGTGGGTGTGCAAGATACAAAATTAAAAACATAAATGATTAATGAGCTAGCTCTTTGAAAGGACATCCCAAACAAAGGAGGAAGCAGATTTTCAAGCCTTGATGCAGGATTCACTTTCCAGAACCTTCCAAGGTGTGGCAAAGCTGCTGGAGCCAACACTGTACATGAGAGAACCACAAGCTGCTGGGTGCACAGCTCCACCTGCATCCCCAGCCGGCCCCTCCAGCCTGGCATCTACGGGGGCTCTCAGCCACCCTCAGGAGGCTGTGAAGGCTCCCCGAGGCCTCAGCAGGGTGTTCCCCTTTTTTCTTCTGAAAAATGAGATGAGCAGGTTTTTCTCCTCCAGTATCCTGGAACAGCAGAGAGCCTTCATCCTTGCTAGAGCCGCGGTTCTGGGGCATCTGCTGCTGAAACGGGAACTGGGGATTGCTCTTCCTTCAGCCTCTGTGGATCAGCCCTAATCTTGGGTCCTGCTTGGCTCTGACTCAAACCTGACATGCCTGCTTCCTCAGGAGGGGCCGTGTGCAGTCCAGGCGCTGCCGCGGGGCACCTGGTGGCCTGGGGCTTCCACCCACAGGATGAGGTGCCCCAGCCCTGCCGTGTTACATTTTGACCTACGGCTGCTCCGTTGGATCTTCTGGTGAGTGGGAAAGACCAGCGGCACCGGCCAGTGTGTGCACGGAGATGCCGAGGTTCCTTCTTCCTTCTGCACGCTGAAGTCCTCTCCCTCCCCGAACGGAACAGGCTGCTGCCTCCTCCCTTCACAATGGAGAGAAACCGCAGCCACTTGGGGCAAGCCCACTTCAAGCTGGTAATCACAGCCAACTCGTGGGCAGGGAGGCAGGGAGGCGGGGTCTGCAGCGGGCCCTGGATGTGTGTGTGTGTGGCGTGTGCACAAGCTTGCCTAAGCTGCCGCTGACCCCCAGCGTCCTGGATGATTCACAGGTTGTCCCTTGGCCTGCATCGGCCCTTATGTTTTCAGCCAAGTCACAGCAACAACACAGGCCCCACGGTCACAGCTCTGGAGACCAAAGGGCAAACACCACCCAACGGCTGGCCCTGCGCCAGGGTTAGTGTGGGTTATGAGCAAGTCACCTGCGAGGACAGTGCCAGCCAGTCAGCAGAGGGACTTTCTCTGGGTAGAATTCATGGTGCCAGGCGAACCTGCGAACGGGCTGGGCTCCTGGGTGTGCAGAGGAAGGCCCAGTGGTGGGGCACCCGGGGGACAGACAGCACGGAGCCTCGGGGGCCCCTTCATCTCCCAGCAGCAGCTCCAGAGGGACCCCTCCCAGGACACAGGGCTCCCGGCCGTGGGGAGACCACCTCCGCCCACTTGCCTCAAAGGAAACACCGTCCCATCTGTGGGGAGACAGATCTGACTTCTTTGTCCTGCCCCTGCTGCAAGCCCCTTCTGGGGTCTGCAGAACAAAGTCTAGGCCCCTTGGGGGGCTTCAAGTCCCTTTAGGGGTGACTCTCCTCCATCGCACTCCCCACGGCCCTTGCTCCTCTTCTTGCCTTGGGGCCTCTGTGGATGCCCCCTTTGCCCGGGCTGCTTTCCTTCCAGGCACCTCCAGCCCCCGCAGACCCTCCTTGCCCACACCCTGGGTTCTTGGGGATCCCACTGCCTGAGCAACCCTGAGCCAAGAGCATGAGGTCCTCGTGGGCTGAACCCTAACAGAGGCTTGGGGAGGTCCCGTACTCCTACCCCTTTCCGGAGGCGTCCACTCCCAGGGCCCAGCTGAGAAGACTCCAGTCCTGGACCCCACTGGGACCCCAGAGAGCACTGGGGCCACCAGGAAGGTCCGCTTGGTTGGTCTTGTGAGACTCAAAGGTAACCGTGGGGTCAGTGTGCACACGGCCGGGGTGCGGGGTGGGCAGGCTCAGCCCAGAGGTTCTGGTCCTGCGGTCCCCCTCCCACCCGCTTCCCCCACCGGCGGCGTTGCGGCGGGGGAGGGCGGGCCTACCCCTTCCCCGCTTCCTCTCTCCTCCCCTCCCCTCCCCGCCCCCACCCTCCGCTCCCCTCCCCGCCCCCACCCTCCGCTCCCCTCTCCGCCCCCGTGGCATCGCGGGGGTTAATGCGGGGCGGGGCGAGGCGGCGGGCGGAGCCGCGCGGCCGCGGGCCAGGCGCCGAGGTGCGCGCGGAGCGAGGTGGCCGCAGCGTCTCCGCGCGCGGCCCGAGCCCGGCAGGAGCGCCGCCGCCACCTCGGCCATGCGGCTCCAGGCCCGGGGGCCTGGGCTGGGGCCCCCGCCGCCCCCCGCGCGCCGCCCCCGCTGAGCCCGCGCCCGGCCGCGGCGCCGCCCGGCACCATGGTGCAGAAGTCGCGCAACGGCGGCGTGTACCCCGGCCCGAGCGGGGAGAAGAAGCTGAAGGTGGGCTTCGTGGGGCTGGACCCCGGCGCGCCCGACTCCACTCGGGACGGTGCGCTGCTGATCGCCGGCTCCGAGGCCCCCCAAGCGCGGCAGCATCCTGAGCAAGCCCCGCGCGGGCGGTGCGGGCGCCGGGAAGCCCCCCAAGCGCAACGCTTTCTACCGCAAGCTGCAGAATTTCCTCTACAACGTGCTGGAGCGGCCGCGCGGCTGGGCGTTCATCTACCACGCCTACGTGTGAGTGGCCGGCGGGGGCGCGGGGCGCGGCGGGCTCCCCTCGGCGCCCCCGACGTCCCCCCGGATCTACCCCCCGACGCCCCCCCCGGCTCCCCCCCCCGATGTTCCCCCCCGCTGCCCCCTAGGTGCCCCCCTCGGCGCCCCCGACGTCCCCCCCGGTTACCCCCGCCCCCCCCTCGGCGCCCCCAGCAGCGGCTGCGCCCCCAGCGCGTGTGTCGGAGCGCACGCGGCGCGTCCCTGCGCGTGGGGTCTGGGTCCGGGCCCGGGACGGCGCCCCCCGCCGAAGTGCCGGGAGGAGACTGGAGAGATTTTGGAGAGCGGTTTTGGAGCGCGCAGGCAGGAGGGGGTTCCGGGGTCGGGGCAGTTCAGGTCGGCGTGGGGGGCTCGGGCCGGGTCGCGTGCCCCTCCCCCGCGGGACGGAGAAGTGCGGGCGCCCCAGCCCCCTCCTCACCAGGGAGGCCCCTCCCCGCGGCCGCGGCGCTGAACAAAGGACCGGCGGGGAGGGAGGGTGGCGGGCGCTGGGTCCGGGCTCTCGGGGACTCTCGGGGACCCTCGGGGCTGGGGCCGCCCCACCACGCGGGGGCGGCGGGAGGGTCTGGGCTCTCCTCCGCCATCCTCCCAAACCTCTGTCCCTCAGGCTGGGGGGAGCTTCTGGGTAGTTGAAGTGGGGGAGGGGCCCTCACATGACCCCCCCCACCCCAGCCCGGGCCGAGCGCAGCGGCCTGTCGGGCCCCACTGCCGCCAACGCCCCTCCCGGGCCCCGCGCGGCCCCCGCAGCTTCCGCACGCAGCGCGGCTCTGACCCATCTGCAGCCGCCGGCCACCCCCGTGCCCATCTGGGCTCAAGACCCCGTCCTTGGCGGGGCGAGGCCGGGGGAGGGGCTGCGGCAGACCCGGGACCCCAACCCTGGCCCTGGAGGGGCTGTCCCCGCTCCCCGGGGGGGGCTCAGGGCACGGCTGCCTCAGGCCGGGCTCCTGGGGGGCGGCCGAGCCTGCGCTCCTGCGCACACGGGTGTTCCGTGTGTTCCGTGTGCGCGCGCGGCCTCCCCGCGCCAGGGCGATAGCTGCTCTCGCATCCCAGCTCCACGCGGGCCCGCGGAGCTCTGGGACCGGCCATTTTGTGTGAGAGGCATTTTGGGATGGGAGTGAGGAGCTGAGTGGCGATGCGCTGGCCGGGCACCCACCTGGCCGAGTGGGGCGTGTGCCCCGCGAGTGTGCCCCAGCGTCCGTGTGGCCTTGAGTGTGTCCTCACCAGACCCTCCGTGGAGTGTGATCTGGGAGGATTCTGGGGTAGGGGATGGTCCCAGAGGAAAAGCCAGGCCACTCGCAGGGGGTCTCTCCTGGGGTCCCCTGGGCATGCAGCCTCCGAGGTGGGCCTGGGACTCCCCAGGCAGAGGCTTCTCGGACCTCCTGGGTCCCGAGAGCGCATCAGCCCCCGCTGCCCCCAGGATGTGAGTCTGGCCTTTCCAGTCCCGGGTGCATGCCCAGAGTCCTGGATGAGCCCCCATGTCCCCGGAACGGCCTTTCCTTTCGGCCCCCACCTGGCTGAGGCCATCGGGCTCTTGGTGGACTGGTGCTGGTCAGTCAGGTCCCAGCCCAAGGTGACTTCCGTGAGGAGGATGGGACAGAGCCCAGCCCACAACCCTCCTGCCCAGGTGGCCTGGGCCTCGGTGCCCTGCTCTGTGTCTGACCTGTGGTGCCGCCTGGAGTTTGTTCTGCTTTGAGTCCAGGACCCCTGGGCTGCGTGTGGCTGTTCCTGGCCAGCAGCATCTCCTGAGGCTCCTGTCAGGCCAGCAGCTCTCTGCCTGGCCACCTCTGCCCTGGCCTGCATTGGTCAGCCCCTCTGTCCCTCTGTCCCTCTGTTCCTCTGTTCCTCCTTCCTATTTCTGTCTCCTGCGAGTGACCATGTCCAGAACTGGGGCAAAGCATGGGGAGCCCTTGCACGTGGGGTCTGAGCTGTCTCCCGAAGGCCCTCAGTCAGGACGGCCCCTCTGTAGAGCAGCAGCATGTGGGGATGCTGGGGAGACCCTCAGCATCTGAGCAGCCCGCCCTCCTGCCTGCACCAGGCCTCTCAGCTCCTTTGCTGTGGGCACGGGGCTCCCTGAACCTCCCTGAGCCCCCAGCTCCCCGGTCAGGGTGGCTTGGACTCAGGGAGGTGGCCCCACTCTCTGGATTTTCCGAGGGGCAGGGCCGGAGAGCAGGTCTCTGGTCCTGCCTCAGGTTGGACAGTTGGGGCTGGCCGCAGAACCTCTGCATATGTCAGTTTTCCGTCGGTAATGTGGGTACAGCTGCTCCTCGCCCTGGGTTCTGTGAAGACCGGCTGCTGGGGTTGTCCCCCTCTTCCAGGCCCGCCCGGTGCCCTCTGTGGAAGGGACAGTCCAGGCTCAGGACTGCCGGTGCAGCTCACCGCCCGGCTGCCACACCCCTGCCATGGAGTTCTCTGCTGTCCCCGTGGCCCAGTGCATCCTTGGGGTGCAGCACCCCCCAACTTGGGAGGCCTGTTGGCCCGGTGTCCTTTGCCGGCCCGGTGTGGACTGACTTGTGTTACGAATTGACAATGATTTGTCTGTTTATTCAGCAGTTAAATGGATATGGAGCTGAGTTGGGCCTGGGGCGGCCGGGGGTGGGGGACGGCCGGGCTCCCTGGCTGCTCGCTCAGCTTTGGCTGGACACAGGTCCCCAGGGCCACACCTGCGTTTTGCCTGTTGCCACCAGTGTCTGGCTTTGTAGTGGTCAAGTTGTGAGAGCCTTTCTGGGCATCCCTGCTGGACTCGGGGTGGCCACTGCCTGGGGTGGAGAGGGCGGTGGCTGCTGCCCCATGACCCCAGGGCTTGGTGGGCGTCAGGCCAGGCCTCGCTGCCCCCGAGCTGGGGAGGGGCTTTCTCCACCTCGGCTCCTCTGTGTGGAGCTGTGGCCTCTGCTCATGCTGCCTGGGAGCTTTCCTAGAGGTTCTGGAGACAGGGTTTCCCTGAGCCAGAAGGGCATCTAGGACCTGCTCTCTGCCTGGTGGGGTGGGTGCTGGCCCAGCTCTCCCAGGCACTCCCAAATGGAGTGTGACTGGCAGAAGAGGCCCAGACTCAGCAGATGATGTGCCCCTGGGGCTGCCGCAGGGGACCCTGGGCTGGAGCTCCGTGGGGTCCCTTCAGAGCCTGAGCCCCGGGCTCAAGCCTCTATCTCCTGCTGCCCAGCTGCTCACAGCCGGGACCGGCCCCAGGCACTGCTCCATCATGGAGTTGAATCTCCTTGTCCAGGCTCTCCGCATGGGTCACTGGGCATGCGAAAGGGAGCTCCGCTCCACTCCTGCTGGGTGCCGGCCTCAGTGACTGCTCAGGTCGAGCCCGCCAGAGGGTCACGCAGCCCCATCTCTATGGTTGGGGAAACCGAGGCTGCAGAAGGTTGAGGAAGCTCCAGAGTCGTCCTGCTTAACTGAGAGGGGGCGGTCCCGGCTGAGAGGAGAGCTTGGGGGTGGAGATTGCTTGATCTTGCCAGGAGCCAAGCCACGTTGCGTGGCCAGGGTGAAAGTGTGTTTGGAATAGGCCGGAGGGGCCCTCTGACCCCGGAGCCTGTCCGTGGGGCTTGCTCTGCTGTCTTGGCTCTCGGACCAGGCCTCAGATGGGATCTGGGTGTCAGGGGCCTGTGGCCCTGGGCTGCTTGGACAGTTGCTGTCTCTCATTTCACTGCAGGGGGTCCCAGGGCTGGAGGGTCTAGTTCAGGCCGCCCGCTGTCGGGGCCCAGGCGATTCCCCCACACAGCCCTGGATAACTCAGGTGTTGCTGGGCACAGGCGGCCCGGCCCCTCCCACCCTTTCAGCTCCGAGGCAGGTGCGAGCCCTGGGAAGGTCGGCTGGGGTGGGCAGTGCCAGGCACGGGGGTGGGTTCGGCCGCTCTCTTCTTGGTAGGGCTGCTTTAGGTCTTACCCAGCACAGAGGGGGACCCGGGCTGGACTAGGGTCCGGTCTTTGCTGATGGAGCATTTTATGCAGAGAAAGAGACTCGAGTGTTTGAAAGGCCACATTCCCCTTCTTCCCACAGCTCCTGTGTAGGAAATTTTACGGAAATTTCCCGAAAGGTGAAAAAGCCACAGAGAGTGGCGACGTCCAGGAAAACCTGATTTCTGTGGCTCCTCGGGCTTCCCTCGGCCTGGCAGGAGGTCTTCGGCCTCCTGGCAGGATTTCTGTCCCTCACCAAATAATTTAAAGCGAAACTACTCTGGAGTGATAAAATAGTTCATTTTATTTTTTATTTTTGTAGATGGCCTCTCACTGTGCTGCCCAGGCTGGAGTGCAGTGGTGAGATCTCAGCTCACTGCCACCTCTGGGTCCTGGGTCAAGGGATTCTCCTGCCTCAGCCTCCAGAGTAGCTGGGAATACAGGTGTGCACCACCACACCCTGGTAATTTTTGTATTTTTCAGTAGAGATGGGGTTTTGTCCCACTGGCCAGGCTGGTCTTGAACTCCTGACCTTGTGATCTGCCCGTCTCAGCCTCCCAAACTGCTGGGATTACAAGCATGAGCCGCCCCACATCGCCGGGGAGTGATAAAATATTGTAAATGACTCTGCCTAGGTACACGGTGGAGTCAGTCACTATGTACGTTCTGTGTCTGCAAGAGGACGGGAACACTCGTGGGTTAGCAGGAAGTTCCTGATCATCCGCAGGTCACAGCAGGGAAAACCTCATTTATTAGAAATCGCTCCAAGCCAATCTCTGCAGAGATGTGGCCTCTACAGAGGCCCCGGTGGCCTGGATGTGGGCACTGCCGGGGGTTCTCGGCCTCCCCAATGCCGACCAGGCGGGAGGCCTGCCTCCAGTTTTGAAAAGGCTTAGATCCTGGAGTGTTTTGAACTGTGGTCACTTCGGAGAGCACAGGCTGAGTGCGGTAGGGGGGAGTGTCTGCAGATAGCGTTTTGGTCAATATACGAACGAGTTGATGGATCTCCGTTAGTCCCTGTGCTCCTGACATGTCCATGCCTTCTGTGTGCGCTCGGCAAGACTGTCTGGTAGC